GTGAGAGACGCTGAACTATGGGAGGAATGTTGAAGTGTCTGTTGGATGAGATCAGGAATGAGCGAAACCTGGCCTCAGAAGATCTCCCCTCACAAAGAGCGCTTGTGAGTCGACTCTGTTAATGATTACAGCAGAAACTTCTCTAGTTCAACAGGAACCCGTGAGGGTCACTTCAGCTTGACCCCAGTGTTCACAAACAAGACTCATGAAGATCCTGAAGACCAATGCAGCTCCGCTCATAGCTTTACAAACCCCTGGCGGAATTATAATAATTTGAACAACATAATAGGGATCACCAAAATGGCTTGTTATTTTTTTATTATAATTATATGTGTCCCTGCAGCACAAAAGCAGTGTTAAGTCGCTGGGGTATATTTGTAGCAATAGCCAACACTACATTGTATGGGTCAAAATTCTACATTTCTCTTTTATGCCAAAAATCATTAGGATATTAAGTAAAGATCATGTTCCATGAAGATATTTTTCTCTAGTTCAACAGGAACCCGTGAGGGTCACTTCAGCTTGACCCCAGTGTTCACAAACAAGACTCATGAAGATCCTGAAGACCAATGCAGCTCCGCTCATAGCTTTACAAACCCCTGGCGGAATTATAATAATTTTAACAACATAATAGGGATCACCAAAATGGCTTGTTATTTTTTTATTATAATTATATGTGTGACCCTGCAGCACAAAAGCAGTGTTAAGTCGCTGGGGTATATTTGTAGCAATAGCCAACAATACATTGTATGGGTCAAAATTATACATTTCTCTTTTATGCCAAAAATCATTAGGATATTAAGTAAAGATCATGTTCCATGAAGATATTTAGTACATTTCCTACCATAAATATATCAAAACTTAATTTTTGATTAGTAATATGCATTGCTAAGAACTTCATTTGGACAACTTTAAAGATGATTTTCTCAATATTTAGATTTTTTTGCACCCTCAGATTCCAGATTTACAAATAGTTGTATCTCAGCCAAATATTGTTCTATCCTAACAAACCATACATCAATTAAAAGTAACCCTAACCCTATTTATTCAGCTTAAAAAATTCTCAATTTAAAAAAATTGACCCCAAGTATATATACCCCAAAACAAAATAATAGCTGAATTTATAAAAACTGTTCACATATACCCTTTAATCGTAATACCGTGTCGTTACCTGATGATCCACAGCTGTTTTTATGTTTTGTGATAGTTGTTCATGAAAAATCCCCCAGCATGTTTTGTGTGTTTGACCCCTTTCCAACAGAGCGTGTGATCTCGAGATCCATCTTTTCACACGGAGCACAATTGAGGGACTCAAACACAGCTATTATAAAAGATGGAAGCATTCACTGACATTCACTCAAGAAGGAATACGATGCATTAAGAGCCGGGGGCTCAGAACTGTATATCAGTACACTGCTCTTCCACTATCACGTCTTATGTTACACGACGAGTCAAAAACACTGTGAATCAGTTTAAATCACACTCAACGTGTTTGTGCTTAATAGACAAGAGTTTGGTGAAAATGAGCCAATGCGTTTCGACGTCCTTCTGTGTTTAGATGTGGAGAGATACAGAGACTCATCTTCATCATCTTCATCTCTTCAGTGACATGAGCTGCAGCAGTGATATTAACTTCATTTGGCAACAAAACAGATTTCAGTGATCTAGAGGCTTTCCAGAAGTGTTTCTCTTCAGTGTTGATGTGAGAGCAACATGATCCTCACATCCACTGTTTGTTTCAGATGTAAACAGACTCCAAACATTCCCACTTTTCCTCGAAATCGGCAGTGAACTCGCTAAAACCTCATGACTGCCACCTAGTGGTTACTGTGCCATATTACACAACATCACCAGTCTGGCAGATACACTCCAAATGTTTGTACAGTACACACTGTGAGTGTGTTTGTCTGTTTCAGTAATTCCTGTAAGGTCCAAATTTAATTCTAAACATTAGAGGTGTTGGTGCTTCAGAGTTTAATACAGCAGTTTGTGGAGGTTTGTTCTCGGTTCCAGCGTCCGAGAACCCTTACAGAAATTAACCACGCTTTACTACACTAACCATAGTTTAACCATGCTATTTGTAGTAAAACTGTGGTTATACAAATGGTAATTAGTAATAAAAAATAAAAAAAACATGGTTACGTCACTTTTACTACAATAAAACCATGGTTAATGTGCGTAAGAGAAATGATTTATTGAGTCTGGCTGGCTTACACTAAACCCACACCTTCAGGATCAGCTGGAAAACCACCTGAGATCCAGACCAGACCACATCAGGTCAGACTTTGAGCGTTTCATACTGTATATCAGAGAAAATACCATGGACAACTACAAACACAGACATGAGGTTGTGATGTTTATTGGGTTTCATCCAGTGAATGAAGATCTACACACACAAACATACATTCACTACAGTAAGAGCACATGCCATTAAACAGCCGCTAGAAACTTCAGGAATAATATGATTCATCTACTACAGTAACAGAGCAGATCAGCCGTCAAAACAGCAGAAACAGAGTTATAGATATAGAGGCTCCTGCAGAGCTCAGTTCCAGCTTTGATCAAACGCACTGACTGTGACTCTCTTGTAATCCTGCAGACCTTGATGAGTTTGTTCAGGTGAGTTTGACGAGGCTCGAAGCTGAACTCTGCAGGGCCAGAGCAGAGAATAAACCCTGCTTTAACATCAATAAACAGAAACGCTCAAACAAAACGTGAATCTACACAAACGGGCCGTTCCCCGGCTGCTGCTCGAGGTCTGGTCAGCATCTGTCCGTTACTCGAGTTAATGAGGGATAAGAACGCGTTTGTGTTTACACGAGCATGTGATCCAGCTCAGATCCGGTGTGAGTTCACATTTACATGATGTTTCAGAGCGCTTCTGTCTGCAAGAACCCTGCAAACCCTTTCACTCAAGTTCATGTAAGTGTGAACCTCAGGTCAGTGTGAGAACGGCCTTAAAGAGATAGTTCACCCAAAAATGTAAATGTGATGTTTATCTGCTTAGCCCCAGGGCATCCAAGATGTAGGTGACTTTGTTTCTTCAGTAGAACACAAACGGAGATTTTTAACTCAAACCGTTGCAGTCTGTCAGTCTTATAATGGAAGTGGATGGGAATCACGGCTTTGAGAGTCAAAAAACATACACAAACAAAACCAAATTAAACCCTGCGGCTCGTGACGATACATTGATGTGTAAAGACACGAAACGATCGGTCTGTGCAAGAAACTGAATAGTATTTATATCGTTTTTTACCTCTGATGCACTGCAATGTCTGAACTGTCCTCAGCGCGAGCGTGTTCGCGTCGTCTTCTTCTTCTTGCTTTACAGCGGATCGCAGATTTATAAGTGCATTACCGCCACCTATCTGTCAAATGGACCATTGACACTATCTACAATCTCCTGTTAAAAAGGAGTGTCAATCTGATAATTTCATGTCTTTACACATCAATGTAGCCGCAGGGTTTAATTTGGTTTTGTTTGTGTATGTTTTTTGACTCTCAAAGCCGTGATTCCCATTCACTGACATTATAAGACTGACAGACTGCAACGGTTTGAGTTAAAAACACACACTGTTGTACAGCAAAACAACGATCATACAAGCATATAATAACAGGCTGCTTCTAAGCTATTACATCTACTGTACATGCTAATGTTCTGCTAATGACACACTAGTGCAATTACCTGACAGGTTACTGGGGTTAAACTAGATCATTTGACATACGGTCACAAATGTTGCCCTTCTAAAACAGCAACGTCTAATATTCAGTGTCACAGAAACATGACAAGGTCTAAACAGCATCTCGTCCGGGTCTGAAGACTCTACAGTCCTCCACGAGCGAATGATGAAAGTGTGACGCACGGTTATTCTGGGTGCTGATGAAGGATGATCGTGTTCTTCTACTGTATGGTGTGTTTGTATCTTTAGTGGTTTGCTGTGGATCTTCATCCCTGCTCTTCCTCACTGGCGCTGTTGGATCGATCCTGAAAACACGAGAGACACACACACACACACGCACACACACGCATACACACACGATGTAAACAACACGCACAATTGCGCATCATTAACATCGTTTGATGTGACTCAATATTTTGTGTGTCTGCAATTATAAGTGTCTGTGTGTGATTGTATGTTAGTATGAGTGTGTGAGTGTGTGAGAGAGTGTGTGTGTGTGTATGTATGTGTGTGTGTGTGTGTGTGTGTGTGTGTGAGAGTGTGTGTGTATGTGTGAGCGTGTGTGTGTGTGTGT